GGGGGGGGGGGGGGGGAGAGAGAGAGAGAGAGTAAATAGGCACAAATGTTGCTGTCTATCGATTCAAGGGGTGCATCTCATTCAACGTAACCCTTGCTTAAACTGGAGCGGAAAAATTCGCTCATAACAGTCAGTCGGTCAATGACGCGCGAATAGGATTCACTGGCCCGTCTATGATCGTATCCTGTGTAAGAGCGCGGCGGTAACACTCTGACCGTTCGTGACACGGCAATTTGTATTCTGGTAACTTGAGGATTAGGTCACGCTAGAGTGTAGTCCCGCTTTCCTAATTACTACGCCGCTGAAGCATTCGCATCACACGAGCGTTTGACGTCAAAAGACGCACGCAGGCATGAACATCACGAACGGAAGCGACGATGATCAGACCGAGTACCGATCAATCGGCACTTAATTATTAAACTGTGTAGTAGAATCGTCTGAAATCGACGGAGTTCTTCGTAAAACCACAAAGCACAAGTTAAAGTCACGTGATACAGCGTGGTAAGTATTCGAGTTATTAGTTATGATTTATGTTTCCAATTCAATCGTCAATCGTCTCGTTGAGACACAGATCGTTTAGGATAACAAATTGCAAAAATATTAGCCGGTGTTAAATACACCTAAATACACCGTAATTGTCTTGTAACTTGTAACTTGATACTTTTAATGACGTTTGGCTGTTTGCAATTTGCGTCTTGGTGAATAACGCTTGATTAGCTTGCGGAGATAGAGGGAGAGATGAAACGTGACGTCTGCACGTCTAATTACGTCGAATCCCCGCTAACTGCACGAGTATCGGGTAATGAAGAGTTTGCAGAATGCAATACTCACTCGAACTGCCGATCCGTGATCGCTTTGATCAACAAACCGAGAATGCACATCGTTCCGATTCGACGCTTGACACGATCGACACCGTGCCGCTAACGATCTCTGATTATCTTTCGAGATCATTTTACGATCTCGATCGAATTTCACCGGTGTATATTTTAATCCTGTATCTTGTCTGTAGAGGGTCGTCTACAATACGCGGAGTAAGCTTGACGGAAGTTGAAGTAGAGTATAAAAATAATTTGTTTTGCTTATTTTTCTCTTTTCTTGCAGTGGAAAGTGGTAGTATTTTCACTCGAGGTGGCAGAGTGAAAATATTGCCACTCGAAACCACAGAAGTGAATGTTTCACTAAAGATTAGAGTGGATTCTGACTCCATATGAGCGAGAAAGAGAGAAAGATCTTGCTTTAATTGAAATGAAGAGTGAGTTCTTCTATGTGAGATAGTGAAATGCATCAAATTCATTCTTCAATTTTGAAAGAAAATATTCAGTCAATTATTCGAAATGGAGAATTCACTCTGTAGGAGTGAAGAATAATTCGAGTAACTCGGCTGTCACTCGATTTTTTGTCTGAAACTTTACTTCAAGAAAGGAGGAGAGTTTTCGGCACCCTCTGAAATACTATAATTCTAATTAATCCCATTTTTATCACCAACGCTCTTATGTCACCTACATATCATCTCTTTACATTTATGTGTGTGTGTGTGTGTGTGCGCGCGCGCGCTCGATACTGCGAAAACACTATTTGTGGAGATATTTGACAATATGTTTTTTTTTTTAATCATACTACTCTCTATGTTATATTATGTTATATATTAGTTCCAGTAAAGACATTCGAATTACTGCAAGTTTACCTTCAAATAAGAATCTGAATTGATACTGGAGACGCGCTGAGGAAGCTTATAGAGAGCAGTATCATTCTTAAAGAAACGTATATTGCTAAAATCTACACAAATAGTGTTTTTGTAGTTTCGAGCGCGCGCGCGCGCACATACAAATGTAAGGAGATGATATGTAGGTGACATAAGAGCGTTGATAAAAATGGGATTAATTAGAATTATAGTATAGACAGGCACCAAAATATGTCCGTTTAGACTAAAATTATTTTATTTCAATAGATTTTACAGAAATACAACGTTTCTTATATTTTTGGTTTAATTTGGTTTAATTTCAGAGAGTGTCAAAAACCGGCCTTAGGCACACTCCTCCTTTAGAGAGTACGGCTACACTCCAGCTCTCTCTTAACCCATTAACGCCTAAATGTGCTGAAATTTTACGTTGATTTGAACCATCTATTTTACTACGGAAATGAGGTCTATTGTTTATATTCGAATTTTTGTTTATATTTAATTATCGAAATTGTTTTCGAGTCAATATTACTACAAAATTACGTAGTAATTTACATAGTAATTACATAGCAAAACAATTTCGATAACCAAATATAAACCAAAATTCGAATTAAACGCTTCAAATCGACCGTTATTTTGGTACCGCCATGTTTATTGAAAAAAATATTTATAGCATATTTTTTAAGTTAGTGTCGGGAACATAGTTTTAGATACTATCCCGAGTGATACTAACACGTTTTTATGGAGAAAATAGCGGAAGAAGAAAAAATTAGCTCTAAAAACATGCGTTTTTTAATTTTATTTTGTAAAAATTTTACATAAATTGCGATTTTTTTAAAATTTCCTCAACGCTATTCGATAGAGTAATATCGTAGAAATTGTACTCTTTATAAACAATAAACCTCCTTTCCGTAGTAAAATAAATTGCTCAAATCAACGTAAAATTTCAGCACATTTTGGCGTTAATGGGTTAAGTAAGATAAATATTTCCGGTGTGAGTATAAGAGCGTAAGCGAAAGAAATTATTTTCATTTCTTCAACTTCAATTTACGCCAAGCTTACTCCGTATATTGTAAACGAGCCTTTATGTCACGGAACGCGAACACGAGCGAGGCGTTCATCTTACGAAGATGAGGAAATCCGCCCACTCGACGAGATCAGCGAATTTTTCTCGCGATTTTGCGGCTGTAGAGCTCGCGATCAATGGCGCAAGGCAATGTTTTACCGAACAATTGCTCTTCCGTGTATCCCGTTATAGGCACTTTAGGTCCGATATCGGGTAAAAGTGCGCGGCAATATAATGCGTTACAACCGCAAGGTCGGCGAAAACATCGCGTATTTTACGGAGCACCGATCGTTTACACGTTATCAACTACTTTACTGCCTGTTTGTCGTGCAACTTCGAATGGCGATAATGTGCCGTCACTGAAATTGCTCGGGCAATTTTTTTTTATTAATGTTGCGCGTCGCGAAGTGCGCTAACTCTAAAGGCATACACACATCTAATTTAGGAACATATGATTGGAAAATGATTAAAGTCTTGTTTCTCCTCCTGGAATGACACGAACGCTGAAATGCGAAACTTCCATTTCAATTCGTTCATTATTCATTTTGCGCTCCGATAATAATAACCCGATAGTCGAGTGTTGGCTTAATGTTCTCTATTGTAATCGAATTGGACTTGAGCCAATCGCAGCTTTGTTCGTTTATTTCCACCTTAGTCCGTCCAAGTTTTCTCATACTTAATCGTTAATAATTCAGCGACTTTTGAAAGAAATATTTCGACATTTTTCTTCTTCCGCAATCGTTTCAAATCATTTCTTCCATAAAACTAATCGAATATTCGTGTCAATTAGAGAATCTAAGTATAAAAATGTGGTAATTCTGAGAGATTGTTTGAAATACATTCGTGAACGTGACATTATAATATCGTCTAGTTATAATTTGTATAATTATAAAGCCGTGATTTTTTATTTGTGTCCGAGTCGTATGTTTCATTTTATTTAGTTCAAATTAGTTCTCCATGAGTTTTAAAAAAATGTAGAAGATAGGAACAAATTGCGGTGAATATTATAGATAAAATAGAATTAGCGACTTATTCAAATGGATACAGATGTGCATTCGATAAGAGACTTCTGTAAATGAACATTTGTATTTCAAGAACTGATAAACCTAATTCATAGCCTTATTGTGTATTCGTTATTGTGTATAAGGCTCATTAAGTTTCATCGAATTGTTCCAGGAGGTAGTATTTTTTTCTTAAGCAAGCTCAACTTCAAGGGAAGCTTTTATCGAGCGTAGGTTTTGGCGTATGTCCGGCTTAACGCGATATAATCTACTCGCGCACACATACCTTTGTGGTTCCTTTTAAAGCGGCGATTACGTAAGGTCCGCTCTTGACTCGGCAAAGGTCGACATTGAAACCAGACCTGAATGAACCACATAAATGAAATACATTCTTGATATTCAAATATGCAGCGATTTCCCTGGAAATTTCAACAAAGGAGCGCGTGTACATAATTTAGTTTGCGCGCTGGAGACTTTCTGTTTTGCGTAAATAGTCAAATATAAGATTTTACTAACTCATGTGATCTTGTTACATGTCATTCTCTTCGCATTTGCGTGACACGAGAAAAGAACGTGACATCGTAATATCGCCTAGCTATAATTTTATGCGCAAAAGAATGTAGAAGATAGGAACAAATTGTGGTAAATATTATAGATAAAGTAGAATTAACGACATATTCAAATGGATGCAGATGTGCATTCGATAAGAGACTTCTATAAGTGAACATTTGTATTCCAAGAACTGATAACCCTTATAGAAATATCATACTAAGAATCATTGATAATTACTTATTATCCGGTATTTTTAATACTGAAAATAAGTAATTATCAATGATTCTTAGTATGATATTTCCATAAGAGAAATCTAATTATATAATAATAATAGCCTGATCGACTATTTTCCTGCACGTGTAATACGTTATATGCATATGTCACACGTGGAGAAATATTAGCCGCGTTGAGTTGAAATTTTTCCCAGCTAAAACATTAGCGGAAAGCACATTGTGTCGTCGGAATATCGTTAATTTAATTTCGCGATTATTTAATCGCGAATCATATTCCCCCGCAAAAATCCGTCTCTCAGTTGTTCAGCGCGTCACTTGTTATGTTAGCTGCAGTTTAATGGCCATACGTACCGATGAAATTGAAC